TCTCTCTACGGGTCTCTTTGGCACGCTTCTTCTCCAGCTCGTCGCCGCATACACGGTTCCGCAATATGTTTTGGACTACGGTGAGTTTGTGTCCGAAGAAAAGAAAGCAAGGCCAACAACGTTTCCCGTTGTGACACTGTCGGTCGGTCGCCTGAGGTCACCCGGCGAGATTGAAGCGATCGTATAACCTTGCTAGCGAAGAGAATATTTTGCATTGGCTAACCAGCTCTCTTCTTCAGCCCCAATCGTCTGGCTTCACTCCGACGACCCGTACATGCCAAGTGATATCTTGACGCATATCTTGCACACGTCCCCGAGGATCGGCTTTGAACCAATCACCGAGGCGACACCGCTGGCAAGCCTCGAGAATCTGTCGCTGTTGAACGCCTACGGCAAAGATGGGACCGACGTCTTCTTGACGGCGGTGGACGACGTGTCGACCTTCCCGGACTGGGTGCTCGGCGAGACACCGGATGCGGCGACGGGTGCCCTTGCCAATTCTACAGCGTGTGCGGTTGTCGTGGTGGAGAAGACGACGAAGGAGGGAAAACACGTCGACCCCCAGCAGGGTCAGCAAGAAGTACTAGTCTTGGACGCTTTCTACTTCTACTTCTACTCGTGGAACGAAGGGGCGGATATCTCGCAGGTCCTTCCGCCGCTGAACAGGTTGTTCCCGGACAGTAGGCCGGGTGATCACTATGGAAATCACCTGGGCGACTGGGAACACAACATGGTCCGATTCCAGAACGGGAAGCCGACGGGGATATACTTCAGCCACCACACCAGCGGCGAGAGCTGCGCGTGGGAAGACGAAGCGTGCCTTTCGAAGCAGGGGGAGCGACCCGTCGTGTTCAGCGCGCGCGGATCCCACGCAAACTATCCCTCGGCGGGGAGCCATGTCCACGACGAAGCCCTCATCGACGTCGCAGACAAGGGCCGGATGTGGGATCCCATCAAACGAGCATATTTTTACCGCTACGACCCTCAGACAGGCGGACGGGGAATCTTCACCGCCGCAGACCCCGCCGGCGCCGACCCGACCGACTGGCTCAACTTCAACGGCAACTGGGGCGACAAGCAATACCCGGACACGGACCCGCGACAAGAGACGGTCCCGTATTTTGGCCTGAAGAAATTCAACAGCGGCCCCAACGGACCCAAGTTCAAGCACCTGGTGCGTAAAGGCCTGGTGCCCGACGTGGGCGAGAAGCCCAACCTCATCAAGACCCTCGTGCACTGGTACATGGGCATGTACGGGTGCTGCCTGAAGGGGATCAACCCGTGGGTTGTCGTCGTGTTGGTAGTGCTTGTCGTGGCCGTGTCTGTTGCACTGTGCGTCTTTGCGTGTAAGAGAGTTCGGCCGCGGTTGAAGGCGTGGATTCTCAAGAAGACGAAGAGGAGGAAGCACGACGAAGCTAAAGATACCGCTGATGTTCAGCTTCGTCTGCTTGATCCCGACGGGGTGGAAGCGGAGGATGATCCAGAGGTGCTTGGTATAGATAGATAGATGGAAGGGCCGCAATATAACTCTAGAGGTTCGTTCCGCGGCGTGCTGGATGCTGTTCCAGGCTGTCTGGGCAATACGTTATACCACTGACTCAGTAAGCAGCCCTGATGACCACTCGGTACTATAGACGAATCGGATATATATTGTGGTGAACGCTGCCAGATGATGTCGATCGATTATTACTGGTATAGTGCACACACCATATGAAGGATGTGCTGTCTTGCAGCGGATAGCTATACTTAGTCACTCGCTTGACCAGATACTAAACGTAGTCGGTATGGTTTCCCTCGAGCAGTTTGAAAAGATTCCACGATCTCGATGTTCAGCCTCACCGGGTCACTATTGCAAGTTGCTATTAAGGTACGTGACGTCTCAGTGCTGACTCGTACGTTAGGTGATCGCCCTATGTCCAAAGCCTACGCCGCCGACTATGAGTAAACGGCTTTGGTCACTCTCGATATCTCCACGAAACCCCACATCTGCCATTCCTCTTCCTGCGTCATATCACAGAATGGCCGCGTGTGCCGTACCTCATCGCCAACCGACATGGCAGCTGGCGTTACAAAGTGAGACGATGTCGCACGACACCTGGCCAACTGCTGGCCAGGCCTGGTTCGTCGAGCCGTAGGAAATCCTTCAATGAACTCAATAACTGATTGACTCTCAGGCAAGCGGCATCGTTCTGCCAACAGCGGCGACGCCGATAATGACAACGACAGCAACAACAGCGGTAAGCCTCGAGACATCACCAGAGCGCCAAAGTCAAACTCGAAGGCCATACACTCTCATTTGAAAACCCGGGGGGACAAAAGAACCGTTCGGTGTCTCTTACACATTAGTGATGCTTGATTGCCGATGCAACCAGGGAAACGGCGACGTTCTGTGGACAGAGACGAACCAAACCACGAGGCGGAACGGCTGCGGCACAGCTCGACTCGGTATACAGAGTCGAGGACAACACCTGACACGGATATTTTCATTTTAAAACTGGCTAGACGATTCCTCCTGGTCCCGGGAAGCCTCCAGACAGAACGGAACTCCATGAGTCACGTCCGGCATACCCTGCAAACCTGCCCCTGTCATTCCATCCCCTGAGGACAGCTTGGAAATAGCACCATAAGCTCGCCCAGGGAGTCCGAGACGACCACTGCGAGTGTGCATGACACGGATTACCGGCAATCATTACGCTATCGCATCATCTTTGTTGAACGCGAAAATCCTCCGCCAGAGCTGATACGGAAGGCACAGAGAATAGTGTCACGCTCCCGAGCCTCGCCTGAGATGGATGGTGCCATTATTGAAGAGCTGAAACAAACATCTCGAAGACTCCAAGATCCAGGCGAAGATACAATCATCAAACAGCTAGTGCCTGATATTATTCCATCTATGGAAAGTATCCCCGACCACAGACTGGAAGATGAACGCAGATCAAGCCTGGTTCGACTCTGCCCCTGCGCCGCTCAACCAAAACACCATGCGCTATCTAATACGCTGCCACAGCATTCATTTGAAGATGCCAAACCTAGAAGGAGAGTCAGGCTTATACATAAGGTGTTAGGTAGCACTTACGGCGATATGAGTGCGCATCGGAGATGATGAGGCGGTTACGAGGACTGCCTACGGCATTAGAACACAATGTCGCGATCTCCCGTGCAGCCAGAGTATAGCACTACTTGTATTCTTTCCACGATATTGTTCCCCTTCGGTTCACTCATCACGAATGGTTGACCTAAAGAGGCATCACCAAGACATGCACGACTGCGGCCGCGCTGACAATTTGTCCGTGGCCGGAAGCCCTGTCCAGTGCTTGCCATCCTACTCGATTCATGCTTACTTGTAGCCGCCGGACAGTACTGTATATGCTATGTGTTCTCGCCCGTCTGGATTACAACTGTGGCTGCACAGGGGATGGGCTCTGCGTGAAAACTTGCGGAGATGAAGAGTGTAGCTGGGTTGGGGAAACATCCAAGCACCACTTGGTTTGTGACATGTGTAAGATACTCCGTTGTTCCATTTCAATCTTCAAATTGAATACGCCTGGTTTGCTTTGCTGGCTCAAAAGCTCGAAAGGTGATATCAATAACATGACTGCCATACAAAGACTGCATCAGCGCCGAGATCCGTTCATCTCCTGGTAAATACCGTGCTCTTTTAATTGCTCGAGAGCGTCGAGCACCCAGTGTCGACAGTCCCTTCGCACGACGACTCCCTCTATCTCCTGATTGCGGGGCACAGGGATCGAGCGACAAACGCCGTCCACTTTGGACAGATCGGCCTGTGCCACGGTGCCCTTTTCGTACTTCATGTAGAACTGCCCCGAACCCTCGATATCGTCGCGCTGTCCCGCGTCGTATTGCCATCCGGGGCCGTGACCGCCCATGACCTGATAAATCCACCCCTTGCCCTGTTCCGCTTCGATGTAGACTGCGTCGTGGAAGACGGGCATCGACTTGAACCGCGCGATATAGACCTTGTAGGAGGCCATGACATCGGTGCCCGGGGCAAGGCTGAGGGAAGGGGGAGGATTCTTGCTCCACTAGCGCTCTATGGAGATCTTGCTAGTGGGGGAGGATACCCGGGAATGCGTAGGACGTCTTGGCCTGAATGGCCGCCGGAAATTGCTGCACCGCCGTGTGTCGATTTCTTGGCCAACAACTCTGCGTACCGATTAAAACTGTAGCAGCACAGTCTCTGCAGGAGATCGCGAATTGGGGCCAAAGCCCTAGCCTGGAAGGATGAGTTTGCACAAGGGAAAACAAACTCTAGGATGTGTTTGCTGGTGATGCGGATTTTGGTGAATATCCATCTGGTGTCACCCAAGTGTCACCCATTCAGAAAATGACTAAGCGCCAAGACATAAGACCCATACATCTTGGCGGGGTCGGCGCGAGCCGTAAGTGAACGCCGCGCCAAATTTATGCAATGTCGCCGAGCCCGCGACCTTGAACCAAACATTCACAACCCTTAACAAGACATAGCCACAGTTGTCGCGCAGACGCCCTCATATCTGGTAGAGCACGATATGGCGGCAGTCGAAGCATTTCTACCTCAAAAGGGTCGAGATGCAGGACAGATTTCGCGCCCCGACGACACATGTCCAAATCGCTCAAAACGACCGAAGCGCATCCATCATGATAGACCTCTCTTTCCCCCAGCTTTCTGGGACAATTTGTCAAAAATTCACCTAGACAAGCACGCCCTGAAAGAGTTAGATAGAAGAAATGCGCAACTGGCAGCAAGTTCTTGTTCACCATACGGAACGCGACACCTTTTCGATCCCGCGACCACTAGTGATGCGACCACTAGTCCTGCGAGGGGAAGGACTTCACTTCTTTCCGCTACCGATTTTCTTCGTCATTGTGATCGAGACCAGCTTAGAGAACTTGAACGGCTCGCAGGAGACGGCGGGCCCGATATGTCGGATGTGAGAGGCGTGAGTATGCTGCTATCTTTTTCGTCATCAACGCTGACCTCCCCTCGTTGTCTACAGAGCATGAGGCCTCCACCCCGTCCAGTGATCCAGAGCGAGACTGGGACACATGCATGCAAGCCCACTTCTCACACCGCATTGACCACTCACACTACCAATGAGCCTACAACCGAGAAGAACAATCAGACTACCGACCAGAGAACCACACAAACTGTCAAAAGCAGTAGCCCATACTGTCCCAACTTTGATCAGAACCTCACCGATGGGGGGGTTTACCCTGCTAATTTCTTGTTTCAAGATGGTGAAGCAGCCAAAAGACCGGGTAATTGGGAGCAGATCAACCAACGACTAGGCGTACGACGACTCTCTCTTTCACCCTCGAGTTTCTCGGAAGCAGATTTTCAAAATTTTGCTAAAAACAACGACAATGCTCACAAGGAGAAGCAAGTAACCACATCGGTAATACCAATTATCGAGGGCAAGATCATCGACCCTGGATCTGTGTGCGGCGGAATCCGATGGACAAATTTGGATCCTCTCACAGATGGAACAATTGTCCCTGGCAATCCTGACATCTATTACGGCGCCCGTCCCGAACGATTGGACCGACGCGTCCGGGATGAGCTGAGGAACTCTATCATTCCATCAAAACAGGATTCCCTCCCTATCGTGCCAAATTTCTTTCTAGCTGTGAAAGGCCCTGATGGAACTGAGAGAGTTGCGAATAGCCAGGCTTTGTACGATGGAGCTTTAGGGGAGAGGGGCATGATTCGCCTATTATCATTCGGACATGAGAAGCCAGTCTTCGACAACAGCGCGCATACGATTTCATCGATATACTACCATGGTTACCTTCAGCTGTTCACCATCCACGCTGCATCACCAACTGGTCCTGGTGGCAGACCGGAATATTTCATGCACCGATTGAGATCCTTTGCCATGAACGACTCTCCAGAAACATTTCGACAGGGAGCCGCTGCCTACAGGAATGCTCGGGATTGGGCGAAAGAGCAAAGAGACCAGGCCATCGAGCAAGCAAACGCGAGGGTAAATGGCCGTCAAAGCACAATACTTGGGGTCGAGACCAGTGTCGAGCAGGCGTCGAGCCTCACGTCCGAGCCTAGATTGGGTGATGCCAACACCGAGACTCCGATCCAGGAGACACAACCCCATCCAACCGAAGATCTCGAATCGACTCTCAATTCTCACAACTCTGCAGTCTCATCCGGCGAGCTTTCATCGAGTCAAGGGTCTACCAAACGTTTACACAGACAACCTCTAGAATAATCTCCGCCTCAGAATAAGCGTCAGAATGTTCGCCAGTCTGACGACGGTGATGAACACCTGTGACTCAGCTCGTGGACAGTGTTATCACGTCTCAATGTCCTTTTCAGGAGCCTCTTCTACTTTTGTGGTTTCCAGACCACGAGTATCAACGATCATCCAAGAATGGAAAAAAACAAACAAAAAGAAAACTCGGGGTTTCTAAACGCCGCTTGTGTTCCTGCGGTACTCCCAACATGGAGATTTGTATGTCTCTATTTCATACTGTGGGTTCTGTCTAGTGCACCTCCAACGCGACAATGTTTGCTCTGACCGGAATTGTTCTGGATCACGCTCCTCCTGCCTTTAATTCTCCGTCATTGCACCTTGTTGAATGACGCTAACAAATCGGTTTCTCAGATCTTGAGCGACGGCGATCCGACCTAAAAAAAAATCAGCACCGTGGCACTTGGCGTCGTTTCGAGTTCCCCAATGTACAGTGTTCGACGGCCTTGATGACACCAAAGATGGTCAAGTTTGATGTTGTTGTCCAGCAAACACTCCGTGACGAGTGGTTATTCTCGACCGCAATTCACATGCCATCGTGTCTGTCATATCCATCTGCTTGGAGGAGGGATTTGACCTTCTCAAGATTACCAGTGGCGCAGGCTTTTTCGAGGCAACCCTTGGCAGGGCGACATATTCAAGATACGAAGAGACTACCAAGGCACTTGTGTGGAGAATCAGGAAAGCTAATGTACGAGGTATATTACAAGTGCTCGTGGAAAAGGGCATACAGGAAAAGCTAACACCCTGCTTTGGTGGCAAGGACCGGCAGACCTATTTTGAGGAGACAGTTGGTGGAAGTCTCCCCTCCATGACGGGCTTAGCTTCTCCATCAAGGTAGATAACTCGTAGCCTAAATCCATTTGTACCTGATTCAAAATACCACCACATCCGTTTCCTGACCCGTTGTATCGTTGTTGAACAGCACCCATACTAGGCACAGAGAGAAATTCACCTCGACTGCCACGATTGATTTTTCTGTGCTCTCTTTTTTTTTTTTTTTTCTACTGCAGATTCACTGAAAACCCCCCGAGGCGTGATTCTGGTTCCTTGCTGGAGTTAGGCAGAGAGCACGTAGGCTGGGGAATCCACCTTGTCGCCCTTGTCGAGACTCGCGCTGCTTGTCAGTGTGAGAAAGCCCGGATCATCCCCTCCTCTTTGTCCCAACCGGCAGCGTGATGTGAAGTGCAAGGAGCCAACTCGGCTCAAAAACGCCCAAGAAAATCCATACCCGTGTCGCTTTCCTTCGTCATGTTTCGAGCAATGTCCCCCCCCGGGTGTCCTGGCAATATCTCACTCGACCAAATATCGACCGCGAACGTTGGTACGGCGCATCTCTTCCCGGAAAGGGACGCGAGCAATGCGACATTCGGGGACAATTCACCACGACGGCCCCCATTCTGCCCGCTGACCGATCCTTCGATCCCTTTCAACTACACGAGCGGCCCACTGGCTCCCACCGTGACAAGGCACAACGGCGGGCGCCGTTACGTGAAGTTCGACTTCCACCTCCTGCGCCAGAGGACCGTGGACGCATGTCCTGGCGTGAGGAGGATCGGTGCAGAGTTCGAAAAAGGAGGGGACGGGGGGGGAGGGCTTCAACCGAGTATTTCATCCTCGACATGGACAACGGGACACGCGTCGTTCGCGAGGCTGCTTTTCCGAGTAGCTGGCCCACGAAAAACTGACGACGCGGTCAGAGGTCGCGACAATGGATGGCGTACGGTGAGCACTTTTTCGAATTCTGGTCTTGACTTGCGTGCGGCTCATATGCGATGACAGTCCGGTCTCATACGACCATTTCCCGTCCCAAAAGTCCTCTTGATTGGGAGCGCAGATTGAACATAACCCCGTCGAGGCGGAGTACATGTATCATGGAGCACGTCCCAGGGGCCCAGTTTACACGATGTCTGGCCGGGTATGACCACTCATCAACATATATGCTGGTTGGTCACCAAGCACTTGGCCTTTGCTGCGGCGGAGATGGTAAATCTCACGTTTCCGGCCTGCGGGCAGCTTATATTTCGACACTTTTACGAAAAGGCAGACGGACAAGGTCAACGTCACAGACGGCTTCTGTGGTCGGGGCCGAACCGTGGTCGAGGCTACTGGGACTACTGCGTCGGTGACGAGTCTCATGGGCCAGAACGGGCGGTCCACAAAATCGGGGGGGCACGTCAGTACCCACCAACCTGTATTCCCCCCCTCCAAGGCAGAGAAAAGATTTGCTAATCCAAGTGACAGGGTCTTCTCTATGAGAGTACACCGATGCTTTCCTGGCCGCCGGACATGCACGACTGTGCTCCAGTCATCCGACAGTCCGCGACCATGAACTCCCCGTCGTACCGTGGTTGCAGAGAGTCGGAAGATCCGGTCATGAATCGGAGATAGATGGGGAGAAGCTTCTGGCCTTGGGATGAGAGGCGACGTGACGTGACGTGATGGACATTTGTGGGCTTGTGACCTGTAGGTTTGTGTGCTTGAGTGGATGTACCATCAATAGTAAAGTTCACTAGGTGATGGATTATCAGGTGTTGCCATTGGATCGAGCCGTGTTGTGTCATTATTAATGCGGCTCATACATACTTAGCTAGCTAGCTAGCAGTACAGATAGTCAGTTAAGCAGGATCCAGCCAGCCAGCCAGCTTGTCAGATATTCCTCACCCCCTCAGCACTGATTACGTAGGTTATCGATCTCCTGATCATAAAAGCGTGTACTCGAGAACCGGGATAAGATCTCTCTCCATATTCCCCGTCTTCCTGTGGTCGGTGGACGACGGGATGATGGCGTGTTTTGATCCCCACGTGTATTCAGTTCGTCCCCAGGACCACCTGTCGCTGGCATTGGTGGAAGGGTCCAACACCCATGCCAGTCAATGTATGTCGGTCTGTCCTCGCTGACAAGGGGGTGATTCGACACCCCCTGCCGACTGACCTATTCTTCCCCCTGGAAGAAGTCGATGATGGCGCGAGCACCCTTCGGTCCCAAACCCCGGGGCGGGTAGCACAGGTAGAGCGGGTCTTCGAGAGTGTTGAACTTGGTCCTGAACCCCGTCTTCTTGTCGAGATTGAACTTGGCCGCCAGGGTCTGGTACAGCGAGTCGAGCGTGGCAGCCTTGACACTGCCGACATTGTGCTCGCTGCTCAGTTTGGCGGTCGCGCCGGCACCGAACGTGCACGTCTTGTAACCCGCCTTCGCAGCGGCCTTGAGAGCGGCCTGCACTGTCAGTTCGATCGCTCCATTGGTCGCACCGGGGAAGTCAAGCGCCCATTTCACCTGCACGCCCCACCGAGGTGCAAGTTGTGCGAGCACCACCAGGCTGTGTATTTTGCCCCGGTCGTCCACGGCGATGAAGTACTGGCGGTGTGATGCATCCTTGAACGGCGTGATCACACTCAAGTGGACCTGTGCACCCTCGCGGTTATCCTGCCACTCTTTGATGCGCTTTTCTACTTCCCGGCGCACGTCCTCCGGCACCTCACTGCCGTACTCTGTCACTTTCACTCCTTCTTTCGAGGCGTGCCGGATCTTGCGGTCAACGTCGCTGTTGATGGTCAAATGCTCATTATTAGCAAGATTGACTCGCTGCTCTGCCACGTTGGTGAAGCTCTTCCATCCCATCTTAGCGCCGAGAACCTCTTCGATTTCTTTGTCTACAAGAATAAAAAGAGGCCGGAGCCGAGTCTCGCGCCGAAGCCACTTCAGAAAGACGGCAATCACGTCTTCAAGCTGGGATGTTTCGCACAGCGGGTTTCCGGCAATAATTGCTCGATCATGTGTAGGAACGTAGGCGATAGCTGCACCCGTCTTGTCGTCCCGCCAAATCTGGTATCTCTCGTCCATCCAAGAAGTGTTCGTGGCGTCTCCGTAATTTGCTACCAAGTTCTCAACCGGCTGGAGATAGCCCTTGGGACGATGCAAAGTGCTGTCCTCGGGATGTCGCAGGTTCGGTTCCTTTTTCGCGGGGAAGCTCTTGGGATCGCGGGAAAACAGTGACGCATAGCGCAAGTTGCCTAGGTCCAGGATCAGCGCAACAAGACGTTCGAGCCCGATACCAGCGCCGGCGTGCGGCGGCGCCACCCACTCGAAGGCTTGCACATATTCCTTCAAGTCATCTGGATCCATGCCTTGGGCTTCCATTCGCTCCTTCAGCAGTGTGTGTTCATGGATTCTCTGCCCACCAGAAAGGATTTCTTGTCCCCGAACCATAAAATCGAAAGAATTGGTGATATTCCCGTCTTTGGGATCCGGCATGGTGTAAAAGGGACGTGCGGCTGCAGGAAACTTGTCGAGGATGTAATAATCAGTGTGATATTTCTGCTTGACTAGCTCTCCGAGTCTTCGCTCGCCCCGGGTCGGCAGGTCGTCATGCTCGGACTGTTGACTTCCGTCGTCGTTGGTCCAACCTGATTCGTTCAACAACTTGACACCTTCTGCGAATGTGATTCTCGGTGTCTCGTCCAGCCAGACCAGGTCGTCGTGTGGGAAGTGATGTTTCAGGGTATCAATGTCCTTCCTGTTGCAGTCATAAAGTGTTTTGAAGATCTCTTTCAGTGTCGCATCAATCAACCACATTGCTTCGTGATAGTGCCTGTCTATAGCCATTTCCAGGTCCAATCCCGTGAATTCGGTCATGTGGCGGGGGGTGTTTGAGTTTTCTGCGTAGCATTTAGCCATGTATGTCACCAGGGACGAGGTGAAAAACCTACCAGCACGGAAGACAGGGCCAATTTCAAAGACACGTGGGAAATCTGCCGAGATGCACATTTGTTTGGCAAGCTGTGGGCTTTGAGCCAGAAAAGCCGGACGACCAAAGTAATCGAGCTTGAAGACGTCTGCACCGCCCTCAGTCGCTCCGCCTTGTAATTTTGGTGTATGGATCTCTAGAAAGCCACGGTCCTCGAGATGGCGTCGGAAAGTCTTGCACACAGCCGACTGAACTCGGAAGATTGCCTGTGCTGATGGTGTTCGCAGGTCGAGAATACGATTCGCGAGCCTGACCCTATCGGATATAGAGTGACCGTCAGTCGCTGCGTCAGCCTCGTAGACACTAAAGGGCACAGGAGCCGTCCTCGCCGAGACCAGCCGCATCTGTGAGATCTCAAGTTCCACATCCGAAGTGCTTGTACCCTTAACAGTTTGTTCGGGCTCTTTGACTTTGGCCCTGACGACGACGATGGAACCTGCCCTCATGTGTTCCACCCACCGGACCATATTTTCAGAGACCCCGCCGTCTATGGCGCGGAGCACGCCCTGTATCGTGGTGGTCTCCTGGCGAAACACCACGAAGGCAAGCCTTGCACTCATGTGTCGCACAACGTGAATTCGAGCGCGAAAGGTGATTTCCTTGCCAGTGAGACTGGTGTCAATATCTGCGAGCGAAATCCAACCCGCGTTCCATGCGTCATCATCGATCGGGTCATCTTGAGACTGTACCAATGGTAGTTTGCCATATCGCTTCTTCGCTTCAGGAGGGTCATCATTGTCCAGGAATTCATCTAGGCTTTTCATGGCCTCGCCGTGCCCGCGCCGGTTGTTCTCTTCTCCACCCTCTTCCTCATCCTCGGCGCTGGACCATTGGACCTCTTGTTGGACTGTATCGGCAACATCTTTTTCGGGGCCCCCTCGCCGGTGTTTATCACTGTGATTGGAAAGCGATTCACCCAATTCATGCTTGTGATGAGAGATTTTGTGGCGCAGGTTCGCGATTGCAGCCATGACTGCGGACTTGCACAGGTGCAGCGGACGAGAGCAGTGCTACAGAGCCACGAAGAAGCGATCAGGTGTAAAGAGGCAAGCCGGCTCTGGAGTTGGCGATTCCAGCAGGGCTTTTAGCATGGAGCGGATGATCGTCCCGGCATGTCGCCGTCGATGATCCTGCAAGAGATTTGACGTCATTTGTCGCAAAAACCCGGTGCAGGCCACCGGAGTCGACCGCATTGTAAGGACTCGCTAAGATGGCAGACCGTCGATGATCTTCCATGTTGTTTCAAGTGTGTAGGCAGCGAATAGTGAGCACTGACATGAACGGAGTAGATCAAACCAAGTCTTCAGAGTCGGGGCTTGGCCGTCTGCAGCTTGACATCACAACCAATTGTGGGTGACTAGTAGGTTTGCCAAGGCCTTGTTGGTTGCTACAGAGGTGCCGTGGAGTCACTAACGCCCATCCATGGGGCACTTTTCCTGTTGTGGGCTTCTACGAACTCGTGCCCCGATGTTATTTGCGCCACGGGTATACAGCCAATCCGCAATCCATTGGTTGCGAATCACTCAGCGCACTTCTCTTGAGTATGCAATCCTACACCGGCTGTATTGACAGGACCTAGGGTGGTCACTGTCGGAGGACAACGAAGCGGAGCAAAGTGTGAGAACCTGCACTTGTGTGCACAAATCACTAATATCATGGCACGGGCAGATCACTCTACAGCATCCCGAGACCAAATCAGGCCTCGTAGCAGTTGGCTTTACCCTGTTTCGGACTGGCATCAAGGATCCTGGCAGATCCCCTGCCAACCCTTATGCCTGCTAATTTTACCTCTGTAAAGTCGCTGCCAGGAAATCCGCATCCGGTCTAGGCGACTTTGACCCTTTTGGAATAGCGGCGGGCGGAGACAACCGTGACAATTCCCCTTTGGAACGGAGATTATGTAATCACTTCCACAGTCCCATCACGGTGTTAACGTTCTCGGAACAGTAAGGAGACTACGATGCACGTGGCAAAGAGGATCCGGAGAGCCCTGCCCACATTTGAAGGTCTCATGAAACTGACCGCAGCGACTGGCATCCTGTGATTCGTTTGAGAAGCCGCAGCCTTGATCTCATTCCAGGCGGGGCGAAAAAGGAGGGGCAAATGACTGACTGTGACGGTCTTTCACCTCGTCGCCGCGCATCCCCAAGTGCGAACACACCACAACAATGGCTCAACCGGCCAGTGCGAAATACCACAGCGAACCTTCTGCCCTCTGGGGGAAAGCGTACGACTCTTTGAAATCTCAGCATCCCGAGCTTGTAGAAAAATATGAGGAGATTCTCTCAGCACACTTGCCTGGGCAAACCAATACCAGTAAAAATGTTGTGTCAACGGACCCGAAGGAGCGGCAAGCCCAAATGGAAAGCATCATGAAGAATGGCATGGAACGTGTCGATGCTAGGAGGATACGGTACCGCATCGCCGGCAAAGAGTTTGATCTGGAAAACCAGGTATCCGAAGCCACCGACTTACTTCTATCGGTTCGTGACTGGATTGCTGGAGCAGTCAAAAGTTCACCGGAAGCTTCGCTAGCATGGGCGGGCGTCTCATTGGTCCTGGTCTTTCTCAACAACCGAAGTACAGCTCTGTCGGCCCAGAATGAAGGCTTTACGTATGTGACGAGTCGCCTGCGCTACTATATCGCTCTGGAATCTATCATGCTGCCTGAAAGCGGAGCGAGCGGGATCGACGGAAATTTGAGAGATAGATACGAGGATGTCGTCTTGGACCTGTACATTCATGTCCTCAAATTCCAAATTCATAGCGTTCGACGCTTCTACCGTGGCCGTCTTGGGAATCTGGGCCGCGACCTTATCAACGCAGACGAATGGAAGAGCATGTTGGACAAGATAAAGGAGCTCGAAGAAGAGATTGAGAAGAAGTCCGCGCACATTAACAGCTCTATTGCGCGAGAGAAGCTCTCGGGTCTCAAGGCAAATTCCACATCCACGCTCCAGCTTTTGGAGCGCCAAGTCGAACTCGCCGAAGAGTGGAGTGATCTCTTTCAACAAAAGGTTGACGCCATCTTGGATGCCCTCGCTAAGCAATCTGATCTATACAAGCAAACCTTAAGTGATGAAGAAAGGAAGAAACTGGACTCCCTGCTTGAAAAACTCTTCGTGGGTGATTATGAGATGTTCAAACACAGGATCGATGGAAGAGTCGAGGGAACTTGTCAATGGTTCCTGGAACACCAGAACTACAAGCAATGGCTCTCTCAAGACTCAGGCCCTCTATTTGTGTCTGCTGACCCGGGCTGCGGCAAATCTGTCCTTGCAAAGTATCTGGTGGACGAAGCCCTTCCTCGAGATGCAACCATTTGCTATTTCTTCTTCAAGGATCCATACGCAACCACAGCCAAACAGGCCGTCTGTTCCACTGTCCATCAGTTGCTCAAGCAGAAGCCACACCTCGCTCACCACGCACTTGACCACTTTAGAGGAGTTGGAGAACATTTGCCCGAGGCGCTAAGTGTTGTCTGGAATATGTTAGTCGACACAGTCACGGACCCCGAAGCAGGACACATCATTTGGGTCGTTGATGCTCTGGATGAGTGTGCCGAGCTGGAGCTCAGAGACCTGATATCCTTGATTGAAGGATTCTTCGACTCGTCGAAATCAAAGAGGACAAAGTTTCGGATACTTCTCACCAGTAGACCTTATTACTCCGTGACAACCAAGGTCGAATACGCGTTAGCTGAATCGTTTCCCAATATCAGGATTCCTGGTGAAGATGAATCCGACGCAATAATGGAAGAGGTGGACCGGGTCATCCGTTACCGGATCGAGAGACTCTCCAATCTCTACGCCTTGAAGAAGAGTCTCAGAGACCATCTGGAGGCCCGAATCTTCCAAATTGAACATCGCACCTACCTTTGGGTCCACCTGGTATTCGATTACCTAGAGAAGAGCAAATTTCAGAAGACAATGAGGGGAATATCGGATCGTATTGATACTGTTCCAGCCAAAGTAGACGGCGTATATGAACAAATTCTTCTGCGAGTTGAGGAAGAAAACAGAGAAACAGTTCAGAAAGCACTAAGCATCATTTTGGCAGCGGACCGTCCTTTGACTTTGCAGGAAATGAATGTTGCGTTGAACGTCGCCTCTGACATGTCTGGTGAGGATGAACTAGATCTCGAAGACGACGATGACTTCAAGAACACACTTCGAGACTGGTGCAGCTTGTTTGTGACCGTTTACAATGGTCGCGTTACTTTGATCCATCAGACTGCCAGAGAATTTCTCTTGGCCAAATTCGACCAAGGACGCCCGACGGAAGCGTTGGAGACAAGTACAAAGAGTTGGCAACATTCGATACCACTGTCTCGTGCACACGCCATCTTGTCAATAAGCTGTGTAGCTTATCTGAACTACATGCGACTTCGAGGCCTACAATTTGATGAACCAGAGATCGAGTCCATCATCAAGGAGCACCCTTTCCTGGGATACGCGTGCTGGCACTGGTCGTCGCATATCCGTGATTGTGGGTACGTGAGTGACGAAATTCGGCATTTATACATATCCATTTGTTCTCCTGATCAGAGTCTGTGCAAATTCTGGCCAGAATTGGGCAGAGAGCTTCGACGCCTGGACTCATGGAAGGGAGATGACAAGATGTTTCGAATACGTGACCTCGGCGTAGAGGATCTGCAGCCCCAGACTCTGCCGGCATATTTCGGCCATCTGGAGGGCTTGAAGATGCTAGAAGGATCAGAGCAATCGCAGACCAGCCGAGAGGCATTATCGCCATTTTTCGCCGCCTGCTGGGGCGGTCACAGCCAGGTGGCTCAATATCTATTGGAGAGAGGTGACAATACGGATACCACGTTCAGAGATCAGCATGTCCTCAGTCTCGCATTGGGAAGAGACGCTTCTGGGAAGCCATGGACTGGTGTGTTCCTGGAGATATTCTCTCGCATCATTGAAGATGTCCCCCCGAGGCGCCTCCACGCTCTTCAAGGATATGAACATTGGGGATTTGATGATAATATGTACCCTAGCCTCCAGTACGCGGCAGCCTATCTGGATCTCATTTACCTGGAAATTCTCCTGAGAAAGCGTGGGATCGAGATAGACGTGCGGGATTCCTTGGGAAGAACCGCACTTCACTGTGCCAGGGGTGCAGAAAAGGTGCTGTGCCTTCTCCAGCATGGTGCGTCTGTTTCCGCGGAAGATTATCTATGTCAAACACCGCTATTCTGTTCCCAGCGAGCAGAAGGGAAGAAGTTGTTGATCGAATGGGGGGCCGATATCCATGCCACTGACGTCCATGGGAGGACTGCACTCCATGAGGCGAAGGATGCAGACGATGTATCAGTCCTAGTTGAGAGTGGAGTTCCTGTCGATGCCTTGGATCACAATGGTCTTACGCCTCTGCTCTACAAAACCACTCCGACAGTGGTGACGGACGCACAGTCCGGCCCAATTACTGCTCTTTTAGAGCTGGGAGCCAACCCAAACGCGAAGGACCGGGACGGTATAAGCCCATTGGCTGCCATCGTCAGAGTGGGCTCATCTGGAATGGACAAGGCTGGCACAATTATGTCGACGTTGCTTCGATATGGTGCTGATCCTAATATTCCGGATAACCATGGCTTGACCCCCCTGTGTTACGCGTCCGGCGGATTCTGGCGTTCCAGAATGAAGTCAATCGTGGAGATTCTCCTCAACAATGGAGCGAACGTGAACAGCAAGGATGAACTGGGACGCACGCCCCTTCACTATGCCTGCTGGAACGCTCGTACAAAACTCGTCAAGTACCTATTGCGTCGGGGTGCAGACGTCCAGATAACAGACCTGGAGGGCAACTCACCATTGCACCTCTGCACACTTCCCGCGATACTGCAGGATTGGGAGATCATGTACACGGCCTCGGTAGTGGAATTGCTCAATCGAGCCGGGGCAAAGTTTGACACTGTCAATCACCGTGGTATGACACCGCTCCTCGCCGCGGCCGCGAACGAGCGTTACCTCCATTGGATAGCAGCCTTGGCTGAAGCGACGAAGAGCGACACTTTGGTGGCTGATGATCGCGGGATGACAGTACTTCACCATCTCGCTGCCAACGTTCAACTCGGGAAACGAATTGACGCAGAGAGACGTGATGGCACGGAGCTTTTAGAAACAGTGCTAAATCGCCTGTGGGAGACTGGCGCCGAAGCAGTCCTGGAAGCACGCGACAAAGAGGGCCGAACACCACTACTCGTTGCAGCATCTCACGCAAACGACGCAGTGCTCAGAGCCCTTTTGGACAGAGGGGCCTCTGTAGAGGCAAAAGATGAGATGGGAAATACGGTTCTTCACGGTCTCAGTCTCGGTGACCCTATTGGAGTGTATGAGGCAGACAAATGTTTCTACAGAGTATCGACAGCGTGGCAGAGCACAAAGCAAAGCTTCGACGTCAGAAATAACAAAGGGAGGACGCCTCTGCACGAAGCGTGTGATCGCGGCAAAGCATTCCTATCAGAAGCTCTTGCCTGGTCCGGAGCAGACCCCGGCGCCCTCGACAGTACCGCTTGCGATCCGCTGCAACTTGTCCCCGAGGTCTGGAGGGACGATATGCGTGGATTTGTTGAACGCGGCTGTGCCTCGAGAGGCCAGCAGCGACCACAACCGTTCCACGAGGACAACTACGCTCCGATCCGGTGGCCTCCCGCACTACCACGTTCGGTAGCAAGTTCTGCTGGGTGATAGTCTACTAGTAAAGTAGTCGCCAGCAACAAGGAGAAAGGGACTTTGCCTACCTTCCTGGTGAGATATGTATGTAGACCAGTCAATGTCTTGCCAGACAAACAACCAAGAATGGATATTAATTAAGTATTGCCCAAGTACTAGCAGTTTTCTTGATGACTAAGTCCACCTTCCTACTTGGTTCTTGGTCCATGGTACCAACCAATCAAGCGCATGCGTGACTTCCGTTTTTGGTTGGGAGCGAAACTCAACAGGCCAGCTAGACCGATCCGGGCGGTTTTCGTGGCGCGCTTTACAGGTCCCGTTTGCACGAACGGTTCAATCCGCGCACCGGGACAAACCCAGTGTCACTATAAGTTACGAAGTACTGCTAGTACTTTCTACCGCTTTATGGTACCATGTATGTCCTATTGTAGTAGTAAGTACTCACAAAGAATGTCTGGTAGGTTTTGGTTGAAAAAAAAAAAGAAAAGCCCGGCCGTGGAGCTAGGAGGGAATATGCTGTTTTCTGTTCGTTTTCGTTTTTCGTGTCGCATGAGCATTTGTATCATTGGAAGAAAGAATGAGACGCACACAACAGAACACTTGCCAGTACCAGAAAGATTCAGCGTACTAAACACCAAGTAAAGTTCCTGAATCTATATCTAGATATCTATCTGCCTGTATATTTATTCAGTAGTGGTATTCTTCTCATGGACATAAAAGAAACACCAAAGGTACTAGTGTACAAGCCACTTCCTCCCTCCCACCCTTTCTCTCTAGTAGCTCACCGACGTGCCCATGGTCGTCGTTCTTCCGTTTGGAAGCAGTGCTTTGGTTGTTGAGGGGCTTTCGCTGCAGGTTTGGGTGACACACTGCGAAGTCGCTTCAGGCCAGGGACCTCAGGCTTGGGGCCTTTCGGCGCTGGAACTTGCAACCTATCGCGTTGTCCTGAAGGCTGAGAAGAAGCATCCGGCACTGGGCTAATCTGACGTCGAGGTGTGGTCAGTCCTTCGCCGTTGAAACACATGGCAAGCATTTGAGCTGCCGAAGCCCGTAGATCGGGATCTTGTCGTGCCATAGGCTCGAGGATCGGCATGTGAATAGCCGCATCCTTGACGCCTTGAAGAACGTCCTTGTACTGAGCTAGCCTTGGGTCGTGAAGATTTCCTGATTGTGTCACAATACTGAGCACGACAAAGAGGGACCAGACGTCCGCTTTGGGAGACTGCTCGTGCGTTTCGAACCTTATCTCGGGTGCCATGTAGAGAGGAGAGCCGCAGAGTGTCCTTGCGAGCTGTTGTTGACTGGCAAGGCCAAAATCAGCGAGTTGGAAAAGGTAATTGTTGTCGCCTGTTGGGGTGTAGAGGATGTTTGCGGGCTTCACATCCCGGTGGATCCAGTTTCGGCAGGCAAGATAATCTAGCGCTTGGAGCATTTCATGCCACAACCGCCAGACGACGACTTTGTTGGTATGTATGCCTGGAAATTGCTCGATCAAATCGCCCAAGCTTCCGGATTTGAGGCTCAGGTAAATCTCGACGGTTTCGGTGCCCCAACCCGACGAGCCCAAGTATTCGACAATGTTCTTCTGTTCCCCGCTGTCAGCATGTGGCACCATAGCCAAGAGGATAAGGATTCCTGGAACATACGTGAGAAATGCTGGAGAGGGCTTTGACTTCACGCTGCAACACGTCGTCCCTCCCAGGCACTTTGATTCTCTTGGCTGCGATTGAACATCCCGAATCGGCATCAACAGCTCTATATACTTGACCAAACGCTCCACCACCTAGATCTTCAACGATGATCGCTCGCTGGACAGCCCCAATGGCAGGCGTGTGAAGTCGTGTGTTGTACCAAGAGGTGAGATCCATCGGAACGTCCTCGACAGTTGGAGCCCAACGAGAATTGCATATCCGCGCATCCACCATCTGAGACTTGTTTTCCTGCTCTTGTACCAGCATGTCCTTTTTCGTGACCCATTTCACGTGAAAGACAAACTGGTCCAGTTTCTCGCCGCCAGCGCTGATTGTGTAGTCGGATTTCTTCGTGTTCAAGACGATCTTGCGGAAATTCCCATCTTCCCTGAACTTATCTGGGTCTATTCTCGTGGTGTGAAGTCGGGACCGGTCCCAGAACATGATTTGATGGGATTCTGGGTGGATTTCGAACGAAAAGCGGACTTGGGAGATACTCGAGCCTGGCATGACAAGGTGCCGACGGCATTCTTTCCCACTTCCGCTCTAACCAGAGGACGAGGCCTTGAATGAACGTGATGGCCGATCTCAAGTCCGTACATATCGGGGTCCGTGTGGCATAGCGATACAAACTTCTTGTTGTCTGGGTGAAGAAGCATTTCCTTGGCCTTGGGAGATTTCTTGTTCGGCACGAGCCACAAGATCGTTTGAGGGTGTGGAATTTGACGGGGAGACATGATGCTGTGCATTCCACAAGAGAACAAGTAAGATAGTCGGCCTCCAAAAGAGTGGTTGGGAGAGTATTCCATCTTTTGAGCAAATCAGTCTCCTTGTTCAAAGTGACCCAGTAATACCGAGACATTTTGAGAAACCCATGGCTCCCCCTCAAGTCGATTGGACAACAGCGATCGTCACAGATTGCATTCCTTTCTCACCTGGTGAATGGACCCTGCTGTTGTCAAACACGTCCCTTATTTTAGTCGGATGCGTGCATGGCTCAATTTGTTGCCTAGAGTGTTGGAATGCATGCATCACGTGGACGATTGACAACTTGTAAATCCATATATCAGTAAGCCGCAATGGACTGCGTCTGCTCAACGCGTCGACTTCTGCACTTCTACCAACCATCACAATGACTCAAACCGTCCACGCCATCAATTCGGCTCCTCTGAATGCCATGATGCCCATTCTCCCGCGGATGGAGGATGGCCCATCGTTTCTTGAACACCAAGAGCGTCGTTTCGGACAGGACCCTCACTCATCCTGTCACACCACGAGAGAATCAAGCCTTGAACCTTTGCCTCAAACCCAGGCCGAAATCGACCCCGAAGAACTTATTCGTAAGCCGTTGAATGACAGGGAAATCAATATAATGCGAACTATTTTGCATGAGCGCTATCGCTATCACCCTGGCCGTCGATACGGAGAGGAGGAGTTGCAGGAATCGAGGCGGATCTTCGATGAGCGGTGGCGTCGGATGAAAATTATGTTCTGCTCTATCATGGACCCGACTTGAGGGGGCGCGTAGGGGAAGCGAGATCGCGCATCATGGTCAGACACAGCATCAAAAAAAGATGGCAAGAACTGGGAGTCTGGAACCCGAAATGGGGAGTCGTACCGAACAGTCACGGTCGGTATCTTAACGGAGATCGTCCTGAATTCTGGGAGTGGCACCGGAAATGGCGGGGCACACAACGGAAGTTCGACAGCCTACCTTGGGAGGAACAAAATGGCTGCTGGCCCGTGCCAGATGAGGAGTTCGAATGGGAGCGCGCGATCCGAATGTACCTCGAGAGGGAAGGTCACTGGAGCGAGACTCTCAAGCTAGTGTCGACAGAGAATGGACACCAATACGACACCGACGTGGTCGATGATCGCGAATTTCTAATCACGAGCCGACCTTGGTTTGTTTGGGCACTAGAGGCCGCAGAGGAAGAGGTGAAACTGCGACGCCTTCCAATGCAGCCCACAATCTCAGCATATGAACCGGCAAGGGTGAATGTAATGGCCCGATGGAAAGAGGACGGCCGCTGGAAAGATAGCTGGACCGACAATACGACTGACTACATAAACCCCCCTGTATGGCCACATCTGGTGGGGTGGAAATGGAGAAATGAGTCTCCATCACCAGAACCTGCGGATTTAAATGACATGGAATTCACTCCATCCGAGGTTGATGCGCTGGAAGCCATACGCCCTCCCACACCGCGGCCGCCACCGAGGTCAATGCCCCAAGAGCGCCGTCGTCGGACTGATATATCCATTTTCCATCCATCCTATGACGACGATTCTGATCCACAACCGTTGGAATCCGCAGAGCCGCTCCACCAGAAAACCAGGCTCAGGCAGAAGGCATCTCGAGGCCCAACGACGTCTGCAAAAGTCTCCAAGTTGACTCCACCTCGTCGCAGCCTCAGGATTGCAGAAAGAGAACAGCGGCTCAAGGTTCCTGATATGCCTCCTGAAGCCGTGGAGAATCTGGACAAGGAGAGTGTGACACAGCTATTCCACCGCAGTCGGACCAGAAGGTAAAGGAGACCTCGACGAAAGCGGAAACAGGGGGAAATGGTCGTTCCAAAAAGGAACATCAGCCAAAGTCGTCGAAACTGCAGGGTATCGCAAAGCGAAGTGGCCGATCAGGACGTTCAAATGTATAACATGGGATTATGTGCGGCGTACTCGAAGCTACTACTCGATCTTGACATGGCCGGTGAACCCGGAAACAACCATGTCTGTTGCGACCCACTAGATCCGATCGGAGCTGGACATGGTTCATGGGAATCGCGTCGATTCTTTTCAGGGTTCGATCTTTTGTGGATGGGACAGAACACCAGCCAAAGACTTCTCTGGGTTGTAAGGCGTTTCAAGGAAGGCGTTGGCAGTGACTGGCTACCGGGGGTTATCACCTGCTGTACCAATATGTTATATAAGATAGGCATCGAAAAGATGACCAGTGGTTGGCCTTGAAGCAGAGAAGTACTAGAAGTTGTGTGTAATAATAATAATGCCATTTACGCGCCGATACCGTTTCAAATAGACTGACAAAAGTGTCGCAGGAAGAGACTACATTCGTAAAGACGAAATCAAACGCCCTGAGAATAGGAGAGTGTTTCCCTCAGGAAGGTGTATGCGGAATGCGGTAAGTGCGTTCTGCAAGAATCACCGAACGGGCGGCCGACGTGGTGGCAGAGTTCCTTGCCAAGCGAGTCGTTGACTTGGCCAACGTCCACGAAATACGAGGTCCTTCGGTGGAGCCTGACCGGATCCTTGTTTTGGAGTGTGTTTACTTCGCTCTAGGATGGATTTGGTGGGCATCACCATCAGTCCGCCTAGCGTCGAGGCGTCCGGTCAGCGCTCATCGGCAATTGTACGAGGCATTGCATAGCACGGGAGACGTGTTGGTTTGTCACGTACGCATTGGGGATGCAGACCTGAGACACTGATACAGGCCAGTGGTTCAGCGGAGAATATCGATTCGTGATGGTGAGGAACATGAGGAGCAAGTATGACTCAAAACCGAGGCTGCATCCTTGGACCTTCACTGGATGAAAGACATCAGGGCAACAGGAATACCTCGTAGGAGCAGACTATTCGGGAAGATGCGCAAGATGGCGGAGAGCGCGGTACACTAACTTGTCAGACGATAAACCACAGGCGGACTGGGTCGTCATTTAAAGTATTGGCAACCCACCAATGACATCATCCTCGCCAGCTTCGCACGTTCCCCGTCTTGCCGGTGGAGGAATTGATCTGCGCGTGGCGGCCAACAGATCGATAGACAACTTGACTTCAGGCCGCTGAACCTGTCGTGCCTGTCCATGTGGCCAATATAGACGCGCACTGGACCATATCGTCGACCACACTTGTTTGCACATTTGATTCACTTCTACACGCTTGATTTCCTGATTCTCTCCGGTTTTGCCAGACAGTTGGTCGTCAATTCACCGACTCTTCCCCTTGTGTCAATGTCAGCTCTCCCCTGACAGTTGCAGCTTCGTATCTTATCACTAGACTTTGCTAGTCCCTTGCTGCTCACCTTACATCGACCCCTTGGGCTGCTTCATTTCGATTTCCAGGCCTCCTTACGATCATTTTGGCCCTCTTTCTCAAAACCTCCTTACCCCGCGAGAACCGCCCACCATGGCGACAACCTCCTACTCCACAGACCCGACCCTCTACCTCTATACCTCCCTAACGGCCGGATCATCTCACATTATTACCGCGACTTCAAGGCTGGAGACCATTCTGAAAGCCAACAAGATCCCGTTTCGGGCACTAGACTGCGCAACAGATGAGAAAGCGCGCATGCTCTGGGGCAGAAGATCCAAGGGAAGAAAGCTGCCGGGTTTGGTCAAATATGGCGAAATTATCGGCGTATGCGGTACCCCGGCCATCTTCCAAAACTGGCCTTTTCACTAACCAATCTCCAGGATCTCGAGCAAATCGAAGAGTGGAACGAGTATGGAGAGCTCAAGGAACAGATTGCAGCCACTCAAGACTTTGGTGGTCTGACCACGTCCGCGAACCTGGCTCCACAAGTACCAGCGACGAGCACTGCTTCGACCCCTTCGAGGTCCGGGCCCCCCTCACGCGCCTCGTCCGAGACTCGCCACATCTCCATTGCGGAACCATCAGAGAAGGAAAAGGAAAAGAATGCAGCCGCCGGAGATACTAAGCCTGCTGAAAATCCCATGAATGTGGCTTTTCGGCAGTTAGGTGCGGAGGCCGCAGCCAAAGCCACCCAAAAGAAAAGCGCTGCTGCTGCCCAATCTCCCAAGGCTGCAGCCGTCCCGGCAAAGGGTCAGAGTACAACAGACCAAGTCCCCACGGCTGCAGCCGATCGAGTCGGCACAGAGGCTGCGGTAGAGTCGGCCGATACAGCGGCGGAGGTCACGGCAGCCAAAACGCCAGCCCAACTCGCATCGGAAGGGGCAGCCAGAACATCTGTCGGCAAGATTGCGGAATCACAAGACAAAATCGCCGTAGATACGGCAGAGGATAGATCGCCCTCGAAAGAAGAACAGATTCTCGAGATGCGTCGGACAAGTAGCGTCACGAAGTCCAAGTCGAGGTTGAGTGACGTGACGCCCATAGAAGAGAGCGACAAGGTTGTAGCAGAGCCGGAAGAGACATCGACCACGTCACAATCTTCGATTGCCGTGCCGGACAATGAAGTCAGCGCCAGTTCTTCTACGAGTTTATCTACGCAGGCGACGCTCCACAAGCAGCATCGTGGGAGCGACATCGGAGAAGCGTCCCCCGAAGAGATTCGAGCGCTGGAGAAGAAGCTGAGTATCCCAGAGGAGGACGACGACGATGCGGAAGATGCCGTCGAGACGACGCAGAGCAAAGCGGCCGAAGTGTCTAGCACTGATAAGGCTGAGAATGCAGCCACAGAAGGGACCGCGCCACAGAAGACTGACCCCAAGGATGCGGACAAGGCTGGCGTCAGTGTGGGTGACTAAGTTTGGCAACGGCCGGTGATGTTGTCATCGTCGTCAATGCTGTCAGGTTCGAATGGGAATTCAAACAGCTGGGCATTTCTCGCTGTCTTGGGGGCACAAGGCAAAGCGAGCGCAGCACGGCGCCCAAGGGCAGGGTAGGGCAGCGCAGAGCGGAGTTAAGCACAGAACCCGGGACAGCACAGTGGGATTGACTGACATGTGATGTGATGTCTGCCAGCGATTTCAATCCCCACGCAACGTGCGTAGATACCTACATCCGAGGGTACACGTTATATGCATATCTTGTCGGCTGCCTTTTCTCTCTCTCTCTCTCTCTCTCTCTGTGTGTGTGTGTGTCTGTGTCTGTGTCTTTGTCTCAGATCTTTTCGAGTTCCCGGCTCCCGGCTGGCTGGACTGACTCCCCTCACACTCTGGTTCTTCCTCCCTCTGATTCCCCGTACGTAGTACACACATACCTCCCGCCCTACAGCATCGTCTGTCCCTCTCCACCTGTTTGTAGCGGAGCGGGAAAGTGAGTACTTGTTCGCGTACTTACTCGCTCGCTCACTCACGCACTCGGCCCTCATTGATTCGGCTAGGCTAGAGAGATAGAGAGCCGTACAGCCAGGCGGCCTATGCGCCACGGCCTACCCTTGGTTTGACCTAATTCATTCTTTCGTTCATTCGTGTCTGGTCTGATCTGGCCTGGTCTGTGATTGGCCAAGAACAAAACAAAATAAATTAGCTGCGCACAGAGATTCCGCAGCCCAGTCCAGACTCCAGATCCTCGGTCTTCTCCCAGGCAGGGATGATGTACACGGTACGCACGCACGGTGTGAATAGATAAATTTGTTAGAGTACCGACTCCTAGTAGGATCCATTCTGTCCATCCACATCCAATCGCCGCAAGTAGCCATAATAAACATCTTGTGTTTTTTCCTTGATATCATAGTCATTGTCATCTCGTGCCCTTTCCCCAGGTCGGTTTCCAGGGGCGACCTGGGGTCCGTCACCACACATACCCTCCCTTCCCCACCCAGGTTTACAGTCTGGGTCGGAGTCCCTTGTCGTTCGCCCAGCCGCGTCCGCTCATTTCCACGTCCGTCAGCCGCCAGCCTGCTTCAATGGCGACCAGCTCGGCACATCGCTCCCCGATCCCCAGCACCGTCAACATCGGGTTGATGGTGGTCATGGCCGGGAACACGCCCGCATCTGCGATCCTTAGCCCCTTGAGGCCCCTCACCTTCAAGTTCTCGTCCACCACCGCTTTCTCGTCCTTGTGCACGTCTCCCATTTTGGTCGTACCCGCGGGGTGGTACACGGTGTGTGCAACCTTTCTCGCATACTCGGAGAGTGCCTCGTCGGATTGGACTGCAGGTCCCGGGGCCACTTCGCGCTTGATCCACTCCTTGAATGGAGATTGCTGCGCGATCTTCCGCGCGGCCCTGATTCCAAAGACGAAAGTCGCGGCATCGTAACCTTCAGGATCCGTGAAGTAGCGGAAGTCTAGTGCCGGTTTGACGCTGGGGTCAGACGAAGTAAGATAAAGTTTGCCCCGGGATCGAGGACGAGGGATGTTGGGCGTCATGCAGAATGCATCGATTGGGGTGTCGTAGCCCAATCTGGTCGTGTTCAAGCAGAAAGGGATCTGGTAGCAATGCATCATCACGTCCGCAATGTTGCCGTCCGGGATCGCGGCAGGATTTGTTGGTGTGGATTTCTTCCCTGCCGCATCAGGAGCTTCACGGCGGAGGAAGATGCCCGCGTCCGAATCCATGGTGGTCTGGTTTGGTGGCACCGGTCGGTTGAGCTCCCAGATGATGATGGTTTCCGGATGGTCGAGGAGGTTTTCACCCACACCAGGGATGTTCTTTACCACAGGGATGGAAAGAGAGGACAGTTCCTCAGCCGGTCCCAGTCCGGAGAGGAGCATCAGGCGCGGTGTGTCGACAGCGCCGGCACAGAGGATGGTCTCGGTTCGTGCGGTGAGTGTCAATTTTTGACCTGATTGGAGGGTGACGTTGACGCCTGTCACTGTGTCGTCGCGGACGTTGATCTTGGAGACCCAGGAATTGGTCAGGATCTTGA